CTTCCTTCAGTTGTTATTTTCACCTCGCTTCCAAACACCCGTTCTGCTTCTGACGCCAGAAGTTGTGATTTAACAATCAGCCAGCTCTTAGAACCGTTTACATGGTATCCATACTTCAAGCCTTCTTCACACAGATAACGATACCAACTATAGAGCGCTGCAATCGTTCCTCCCCCTGCTGAGTCATCAGCCAACCAAACTTGTTTGACGTCTGGGCTAGCGAGTCTCAGTGATTGTATGATGGTTGATGTATTGATTGAATACCAAGGCATGGCCAAAGGGTCACCTTGAGTGGTGCCTTCTTGAGACAGTATCTCCCCTCCACCACAAATAAAAAGTCTAGAAGGACTTCTATAGGTGTTGATAAGATACTGCGAGATTTCATTACAAGTAATCTGGATATTATGCATTGCCACGGAGCGATTCATTTGGTTGAAAGCATTACTTGCGTCGATTAGAAGTATTCCATCTGTTTCAGCTTCAGCAAAGATCTCGCTCATTGCGTGTATCGCGGCTTCAGCGCCCGCGTTGTGCCCAGCACAAACTTGTAGCGGGCCCGCTGCTTGTTTCAACTCTTCTTTGAAAAAAGCTGACACAGTTTTGCCAATAATTCGCCTCAGTACTTCGCCTACACCTATTGGCCTAATTCCAGGATTCTTGTCAAGGGGAATCAATCTACATGATGTAAAGGCCTCTAATAGGGAGGGATGGTATGAAGACTTCAGCAGATTTCTCGTCATTATGGCTATTTCCTCTCTTAGGAGTTTTCCCTCGGTCTTGAAACTTTTTGAACACACGATTCTTCGATATAGTTCGGCATCCATTCCCGAGGGCCCTGCCGAACCTTTTGTTTTTAACGCTGCGTTGTAGATGGTCTGCTCATCAATCAAATCGAAAGTATTTGGTGGAACATAATCCATCGGCCCATACAAAAGGCTCCCCTCTTGCACCTCTGCAGCTGTTGGGTGTTTCTGTTTAAGCTCTTTAATGACTTCTGGCGATAGATTACATAAACCGGATGAACTCTCTTTATCTAACATCTTTATAGCAGCCGTGATTTTTCCTTGCATGACCAATTTTGCAAAGGTTTTAGACACATCTTCCATAGATCTAGCCTTCCTCGAGGATTTAAATTTCTTTTGAATAAATCTTACTTCTTTCATTAGTAGTGATACGTCGCCTTGTCTCCATAGGAGTAATCTGCGATCGATAGCTGAACTATGCTCTTTACTCTTAGACTTTGCAGACGGCTTCTGCAAAATCAGCGAAGGAAGTATCATAAATACTTTTAATGCAATTGAGTTCAACTCAGCATTGGAGTTAAATTGTTTGAGCCAGTAAGTTAATTCAGTTATGTAATCTTTGCCTGCTCTACCGGACGGGATTTTAAAAATGTTTCTTCGGAAGTGAACGATTTCATCGTATATCTCGCCCACTTCACAGCACAATTCTCGGTGCGTTATTTTCCCCCGCATTTTCTCTTTTATTTGGGATGGCAACACGTTAATCTCGGGCAAATTTGGCAGCAAATTGCGTGATGAACTCTCTTCATCATTTCTTAATTCCTCTGGGACTTGCTCAATAGTAATGTTATGCAAATTTGACTCCGGTCTCAGTTCGTTGATTCCGCCGCTTACTTCAGCAATTTCGCCTTCCTGAGTTTTATACGATTCATTATCACAACCAAATGTTGGAAGAACCTGAATCTTTTGAAGCTTCGAAGCTCGATCTCTTAAGTTTTGTCCAGTTAGGCCCAAGCTTGCATAACCTCGTTCTTCCCAAAGTTGCTTCATGAGCTGTATATAGCCTATCTTCCTGCCCGTTGACTTGTTAACATTTAACGATGGATTTTCTGATGATTTTAATTCTTGAGCTCTTTCTTTGCATTCTAAAACATCCCTATTCATTTCTTCTGTCCATTTCGTTCTCTTCTGTTTCCTTGACATCGCGAAATTGTCATTTACTACACCGAAAATGTACTTATTTTACGGAGCCATATTTCGTACGTCCGATGCGTAAACTTTATTAATAATGTAACCCGTTTGGCACAAATAGTACTGCTGAGATTTTTCAAAATGTCATTCAGACCACATTCCAAGATATTGACGGTTGTATAAACATAAGCGAGGTAATTAAAAAAAGGAGCGGGTAATTAAAAAAAGGAGCGGGTAATTAAAAAAAGGAAGGAGCGGGTAATTAAAAAAAGCAGCGGGTAATTAAAAAAAGGAGCGGGTAATTAAAAAAGGAGCGGGTCATTTCCCAGGTGCGCCTCGGCAATCACTTGAGCCTGTTTGCTTTCTCTTGGACGACGCTCGAGATTTACTGTGAAGGCATTTATAATCGTTCAAATCATTCATCAATCCTAACCTCTTTATTTGAAAGAATTAGTTCTTTTTATTCTAAAGGTATGTTCCATGTTTTTATTCAACTATTTCAACAATTGCCAATAGAATCATTTTAATCATTTGCCACTCATGATGGCCGCCATGTACGTATAAGGCATGTACGTACGCCGCCGGAAAGACATCTGTTTTTGAGCACTAAATAGCTGTATTTCAACAAGGAGAAAAGCTAAAAACTTTCAACAATACTTAAAATTTAATACAAAACGTGTTTCCAGAACGTAGAGCAGTTTTAAAGTCGTTTTCTCAGGAGTCAGAGTGCGAAGTTTTTTTCGGCACGTTTAAACTTGTGTAATATTTTGAATAAGAAACTGTTACCCAGGAAGTTTTTGCTGCTAGTGGATGTAAAATACCATCCCGGAAACCAGGTTTGAATGTTAAAGTTGAAACCTTTTGATTAAAAAGTACTTTTTCTTGCTAATTTTTGCTCGAAAACAAACTTTTGACTGAATTTCCTGCTCCTCGAAGCTCTCTCTAGTCCTTTTGAAAGCTAGTTTATCCCGCTGGCCTCCCCAGCTTGGCTACAAATTTGGCTTTAACCAATCATAGGAGTCGATCTCCGGAGTTATCGTTCCAGTTTTCTTATAGCTCACTGGTTTAGACTAGTTATAGGTTAACAAAAATACGCTTAAAACGCGTAAAATCCGGATGGCTAAAAACTTGAAATTCCGATAAATTTATAGTAAAAAATGGTTTATATTTTCCTTTGCTCTATAGAGTTAGTGGTGCATAACCACAGTTCGAAGAGGCAATCGCCGAGACAGACTGTAGATTTTTGAGTAGCACTTGTGTTATAATAATTTTTGTCCATTTAAGATGACCCAAAAACGTTGCGTTAGTGCATTGCACGTATTTTCAGCACGTCATAGCAAGACATGTTCAGGCTGTTAAATATCTGTCAATTTAACATTTGATAGAATTTTCGAGATTTTTTATGTGAAATCAATGGTTTCACTTTGTAAAAATAGTCCTCATGTTGTTTACACTTTCATAAAAAAATGTCTTTTTGCTTTAAAATTCCCCACCGGCGCTTAGCGCCTGGGAAATTACCCGCTCCTTTTACCCGCTCCTTTTCAAATTACCCGCTCCTTTACCCGCTCCTTTTTTAATTACCCGCTCCTTTTACCCGCGACCCGCTCCTTTGACCCGCTACCCGCTCCAAATAGATACTCCCCACAAGCGACGACATACTAGTTTTTGCCAAAACACAACATGAACATGACATGACATTAGAATCTGTTCTACAGCGTGCTAATGAAAGGAATTTAAGATTCAACGGTGAATTTGATAAACCAAACATCACGTTTTATGGTCATGTTTTCTCGAAGCAGGGTATATATCCCCATGTCCTAAAAAGATCGAAGCGATCAAGTCTCTAAAACATCCAGCGAATGTTTCTGAACTTCGTAGCTATTTAGGAATGATAACATATTGCGGCAGATTTATCCAAGATCTTGCAACACTGACTGCCCCATTACGTAACTTACAAAGAAGGACATAAAATACGAATGGAAAGAATCACAACAACATGCGTTTGATACATTACAAGAAAGATTGAACGAGAAAACCACTTTATCATACTTTGATCCTTCAAAAGACACCAAGCTCAATGTAGATGCCTCTCCCACTGGTCTAGCAGCAATATTAATACAAAATACTCCCAGCCAAAATGACGAAACTGTCGTTGCATATGCATGGCAGTCGTGCTCTTACAGAAGTAGAACAAAGATATAGTCAGACAGAACGCGAGGCATTGGCAATTGTTTTTGGCTGCGAACATTTTCGTTTATTTCTCTATGGAATTCATTTCACAATCTATACAGATCATAAACCATTAGTATCGATTTTTCAGAATCCAAATTCACATTGCCCTGCACGACTATAGAACGCTGGCGTTTACGCCTATAGTCGTACAATTTCCAAATTCACTATCGCCCTGGCCACGATAATCCATCCGATTACATGTCAAGACACCCAATGAATACGACCTCAATGACATCACAAAACTCTGAATATTATATTCAGTTCATTGCGGAATCAACAACCCCAAAAGCAATGACCCTTCAACAAATCAGAGAAGCAACACAAAATGACCCAACTTTGCAACATGCTGCACTCATAATACAGAAAAACCTATGGCATACATTAGACACCACAACTTTTTCCAAAGACACAGACATTGATATTCGTGAACTAAAGTTACTCCGTAATGTCAAAGATGAATTAACTGTATCTAATGATAATAACATCATTTTACGAGACACACGCATTGTTATTCCAAAAAGCTTGCGAGCAGATGCCATACGTTTAGCCCATGTTGGCCACCAAGGCATAGTTAAAACGAAGAGGCTAATGCGAGAAAAAGTTTGGTTCCCCTAAATTGATTCACTTGTCAAATCTGCAATCGACAGCTGTATACCATGCCAAGCCACTGCATGGACGTCCAAAACCACCACAACCTCTGTTAATGCGCGAAATACCCAAGGAGAACTTTGACACTGTATACATTGACTTTTTGGGTCCGTTACTATGTGGAGAAACTCAGAAACACTCTTTGTCCTAATAGATGGACGCTCCCGATATCCGGTAACAAAAATTATGAAGAAAACGGATGCTCCTCACCTAATTCCATGTTTAGACGAGATCTTTACCACATTTGGATTACCAAAAAAAGTTATCTCGGACAATGGTCCACCGTTTCAGAGCAAAGAAATAAAGAAATTCATGGATGACAATGGCATTCAACACAAAACAATCACTCCATTATGGCCACAAGCAAATGAAAGCGGAACTTTCATGAAACCACTGATGAAGGCAATTCGTACTGCCCGTCTGCAAAAGCAAAACTGGCGCCGTACAATGCAGGAATTCTTGTTAAATTACAGAGCTACTCCCCATACCGCAACTCAAGTTGCACCGGCCACACTCATGTTTGGTAGGAACACCCGCACAAGATTACCTCAGACTGATACTAAAACCGACAAGAATGCCCTTGATCATTCCGTCGAACAACGCGATAAAGAACAAGGACAACGTATGAAAGAATACGCAGATCGACGGAGACAAAGTAAGACGACAACCATGAACATTGGCATAGGCGTACGGGCTTAGAAATTTAGGGGGGGCGGATGTCAATTTGCCCAACGAGCGCCGAAGGCGCGAAAACTGCTAGGGGGTCCAGGGGCATGCGCCCCCGAGAAATTTTGAAAAGTAGAGTCTCTAAAATGCCATTTCCTGCGTTTTGGGGGGAGATTTTGTGCATGGAGCGGGTGAGGATCGAAGAGAAAATTAATGAAACAAGACCAAGCCTGATGACTATTTTACTTAAATGTAACTTTTACCGAAAACCTAACCTAATCTCCCCTGCAAGTTTAATGTCAAAAGAAATGTGAGGCACGGTGACTTCGTTGGCCAAAAACATCAATGATTCTGTCCATATCATTCTCGAGCCGTGTTCTATTAGTATACGCTCGTTCCATACAGAGAAGAGAAATTTTTTACCCATTGTGGAATGAACGTACGTCTTCACCCTTCGTTACCCACTGAAAGATCTTTCTGCAGAACGTGACGTAGTTGGAATCGTTGTCAAGATGGAACTTTCTCGCCGGGCCTCGCCGTATGCCAGCGTATACCACCGTATGCGACCGTGCTTGAAACGTATGTCAGCGTATGAGTGATATTTTTCATACGCTGACATACCCCAGCAGTCTTTTATAACTACAAGGTGAACAACGTTGTTACAATTAACAGTTACAATATATATGATTTTCTTTAAAATGATAAAGTCTCTTCACGATTTGTTGGGAGTGATGTCTGTTTAGCGCTAGTTAGCGCTCGCTCCAGTCAGTTATGGCATATAGCCAGTGGCGCGAATGGAAAAGCATGTTTATTTTAATTATTTTTATCACCTTTATGCAAGTATATATCCTAGTTTGAATATTTTAAAACATTTTTCGCATTTTACTATTAATAACATTTATTTGTTGGAAAGACCAATTTGATTTCAGGTACACAGGAAGATTGCCCGACTCTTAAGTACAAATTGCCCGACTAATTAATATTTCTGACTAAACTGGGGGGCTGCCGCCCCCCCCCCCAGGCCCCCGCCTCGTACGCCTATGATTACATTGGTGATTATGTACTCGTAAGACAACAAAAGCACAACAAATTTACTCCGAATTTTGATCCCAAACCGCTACGAATAACCAAAGTAAAAGGAACGATGGTTACTGCAGAAAGACCAGGATTCGCTATTACTAGAAACCAATCGTTTTTCAAACCTATTAAAACAACTGGGTTGCCCTCTAAAAATGAGGAGGAAATGGAAGATAGTGATGAACATGAAGAACAACGTGATATTGGAGACAATGAAAATAACAACAATCACAACCGAGAGGAACAACAAAATCTAGAACGACAATATCCAAGGCGAGAAATAAGAAGGCCGAACTATTATCATTAAGCCTTAGTGTAAATAGAAAGGGCTGACAGTGACAGTCATATAACTTGTTGGACAATCAACAATTTGTCTTAGCATTCATATTCTGTTTTGTTAAATACCAACACATAGATATAGTGGTAGATGATTAACCGAACTGCAATTGTGAAAAACTCTGAGAAAAGGAGGGATGTAGTGTCTAGCATAATTAGCATAATGAACATTAATTATGGACCACGAGGAAGTAAGCAAGATGACGATATAGATGCAACTGTAAGATATGTTCTGTTAGAGATTATTAAAGAAAGCATAGATAACAATGTTATAGACAACATCATAGGATTGTCTTAATAAATCATAAGACTTGGTGTTGTAAACAATTTCAGATTATTTGTAAAAAAGTTATATATTGCGTATAATGCGTTGCATGGTTCGCATAATAAGTTTCACACGTTAACGGAACAATTGTCGCACAGAGTAGGGTGCGGCTTTTTGGGCGTAATCCATACTCTTATAGATGATGTCACCCACAAAATTCTTGTGTCTCGCGAAAATGTGAACTGATCACACTCGCTGCTAGCCTTAATTTGTTAATTAGTTAATGTTAATTGTTTATCAATATGTATCTAGGTGATAGTCAGAGTAGGTGGGGGTGACAAAAAGGGGAAGAGAAAGGCAAATAGGTGATTGATTCTCTTCACCGTTCCTATGCATATTATGTGCATATTTATGATAATATAATATTAGACACTTGATATTAAAACAAACGAATCACGAAAGCAACTGATTCGCAGTTTTATACAAGGGTTAAAGCGACCTTGTTGAACTATTCGCCAGACATGATTGACAGGACAATTGAGTCCATGGACAAACGCATTGACATGGTGATCAAGTCAACAGGACAACGCATTAAATATTAAATTTCGTGGCAATTTAAATGTGTAATGTCCTTCAAATGCCACTATTATTATCAGTATTTAAGCCAAGTTAAATAGGATTCTAGTGAATTGAATTAAAATTATGTTGTTACCTGCATTGCATTATAAACTTTATAAGCAATAAACTGTTAGATACCTAACGAGTTACCAACGAGTGACCCACGAGTTACCCTAAAAATCAATATACTTTTCACTATAATACAACGAGTTACCACTAAATTAATAAATTAAAATAAATAAATAATTATTTTTTAATTTTTTAGTGGTAACTCGTGGTAACTCGTTATGTTATAGTGAAAAGTATATTGATTTTTAGGGTAACTCGTGGGTAACTCGTTGATAACTCGTTGGTAACTCGTGCAAAGCACATTCGCACTTAATATATATATAATTATATAGTCAAACATAACTGTTTTAGTCCTCAGTAAGCCAAAATTATTGTGCAAAGTTATTTTGAATGTTGATGTCACTTCTCTCCCAATAGTATAAGCCTAGCAAAACAACTTCCACACGGTTCTATACCTTCCTTTGATCTTTCTCTTCGAATGCATGTTTGAAGCGTTTCAATTCGAAAAAGTTAGAAAGATGCAAAATTTGAACAATGTTTATATCCTCGGGTCCCCCTTTGTTATGAGCAGAATTTCAAATTATTGATTTGGGATTTATCTTAGACCTTTCTGATTTTATTCAAATTGCAAAAATGATAAGCTTCTGCATGAAGGACGTATAAGTTGTTTCTTACCATGCACGATTAAAAAACTCCAAGAATTATTAATAAACAGTATTAGAACACAGTAGCCCCCCTCCCCTCCCTTTTCCTCCCCCCTTAACACCCGTTTCTTACAAACCCAAACTGTTTGCTTTTCTTGCGTTACTGCATGACTTGTGCACTAAACTAAATGTTCAAAAGAACATAATGTCAAAAAAACAAAGAAGACCGAGTAATGAACCCTTTCCCAATTTTTCTTTCTCAGACAATCCTTCACAAAAATTATGAGACTACCCATGTGAAAGTATGATTTCCTTTCCCCTCCCCCCTACAGAGCAATGTTGCTCGTGATTGAGTTGAAATTGTGTAGCGCAACGCTTGCAATAACAGTCAACATTGTTTTGAAGGGGGAGGGAGGGGGGGGGGG